TACTGTCAGCAAGGCTGTGCCCGTGAACTGTCACAACTGCTTGTTAGTTCCTAAAGCCCACGCCAGAGAACCACACTGCCATCAACCAGGGAACAACATGAGACAAGCTCGCCTCTCGCCTCTCAGAGCACCCTGTGAGTGGCTGTCACATGGGCCTGTGGATGGGCTGGGGGTGGGTAGCATTGAGACAGAACCAGGTCTCTTTGTAGAGAGCCTATTGTAAGGATGGCCCTTTGACATGAGGCGAGGACCCTGAGTGAGTCAGTATTTACAGTGGCGGTTCAGGACAAAGAGGACAAGGCACAACCACGAGGCCTGATTAGCGGGACTTGTCTGACACTATTTACAGGGCTGCTTTGATTTCCAGACCTCAGTTGGTTTTCATATGACTGATTAAAAACATGTGCCAGTTGAAATCACAGCTGCAGAATAAAACTGGTAAAACCAGTGAGACGTAGACGTTTGAAACTTGCCTCTATTTGCAAAAATGACCTCTGACTTGGTTTATATGTACTTGATTTCCTGACAGTGAGGGTCATGTCCCTGAACCACTTCTCCCACCCTACCACCACATTGGCCTGGCTTTAGCAGACACCATATGTCTCATCTTCCAGCTGCCCAAAGAAAAGCATCTTTGAATTCCAGAACTCAAGTCCTGTTTTGGAGGAAACCAGTTGTTTAGGCTTTTGCAAAATAAAAAGATCTGTCAGAGAAGCAGGCCAACTAACGATGGCCTTGTCTTCAGCAGCCAGAACCATGTGACTCCTAAACACCCCTCTAATCCACAGCTGTGACCTCCTCCCTGACCAAGCCCTTAACCAAAACCACACTCAAGGAGCCTGCCAGGCAGGTGTGGGCAGGAGACAAGCAAGGGCCTGGCTGCAGAGTTCACCCTTAGTGGCCACCAGTACATCAGAAACAGCTCAGGACTGAACTTTAAAAGATGTCTAATGCCCTAAAAGCTTTGTCCAAGTGTCTCACAATGAAAGTGGCTGTCTCTGTAGTCCGTTGCCAGCTTGATCTGATAGGTGGAAAGGGGATGACTGAGGCAAAGCCCCAGGATCCCTCTCTACACAAGGCTTCCCTCTTCTGCAGTCACACACGCTCACAGCTGTTTCTGCAGACTCTGAGCCCCGCCCCTTAGGCCCAGCTTGGTCCCCATGGTAACATTTGGCATCCATTGCTCATCTCTTATGCCAGGTAGCATACTAAGTACTTAATTGGACCATCTCATTAAATCCTTACAAGAACGCTTTAAGATGGACAGAGTTATCCCCACTTTACAGATGAAGAAACTGAAGTGCAAGTCACCTACCCAAGGGATCCAGCCAGCTAGGCAGGTGAATTGCCAGGCATGGGTCTCAGGTCTGGCTGGCCCCAGAGCCTGCTCTACATTACCTGCCCTGCACATCCTGCAACCTTGGAGACTGTCAGGCTCAGCTCTCAGCCCAGAGAGATTAATCCTGGGCCCAAGGCCTAGAAAAGTAGAGCTGCTAAGCACTGCAGCTCACCTTCCTGTGCCCCATGTGTGAGTGGAAGCCTGAATGCCTCTTCTCCTCCGTATCCAGCCAGAACTGACCTAGTCACAGCCTGGGGTCCATTCTCTACATTTCAGTCTCCGAAATGAGGCTCTTGAGTCAAACTGGGTTGTGATTTTCTGAAACCCTAAGCAAAGGGGTTGAGATCAGTGATGAGGGTCAGAACCTTATTTTGTCCTAAGGCCTACTGAGCTCTAATTTGGTCTAAAAATAGACTCCTGTCCAATGTGAGACCCATGAGGACCCTGGCTGACTCCAGACCCCTCTCATCAGAGGCCCCCATGGCTAATTAATGAGGAGGTAGAGAGCCCCCCCAACACACACACACCACAGTTTACACTCCAAAAGCTTTGCCTTTGGGTCACAGATTTTTTTTAAAGATGACAAATAACTTGTGCCATTAGCAAGCTATACTCTGGGCAGCTCTCCATTTTCTCTGATAAAAATTGAAATAAATGAAAACAGTGCTTTAAAAACATCTATAAATGGGTGGGAGCCAGTTGTCATTTTCCCTCTCCCCTCCTCCCCTCCCTCTGCCGACTTAATGAGGATCCAAGTTGAGAAGCGCTTGCTGCACGCAGCTGGTAGCATCATGCCTTTAAATAGCCTTCGCCACGCTTCCCCTCAGTGGCACGCAGTTGCTCTGGCAGGGAAAGCCCAAGACGCACAGGAAACTTGAGAACTTTCTGAAAAGGAAAGCTCTTGCCTTTCAAGCAGACTCCCTCTTGTCAAGACCTTTTTGTGTGAGGAGCTTGCGGTGCAGCCCCTTCCCCCAGAACTTTCCAAGGAAAAGAGGGCCCATGAGACTCTGGGCCAGGGGGTGCTGGAGAGCTTCCCTTGGCTGATGGCTGCCCAGCTCGGGCCAAGGCCCAAGGCCAGTCACTGCGGCCAGCACTCCCGTGCAGATGAGCTGCAGCCTCTCGCCTGTGGCTTTCTCCTGTACCTCGGCCAGGATCCCCGTCCCTTGAAGCAGCCAAGCAAAGGGCTGAGAGGCTGGCAGCGGCCTGCCCAACTCTGACCCTCTAAGAAGGGCCCCGAGGCTCTCCCCCGTGGCACGTCCAGACCCCTGGGGAGAACAGTGAGCATGTAAAGAATGAATGGCCATCTTGTCTGGGCTGCAGCTGAGAGCTGCTGCACATTGTCCCACACCAGCATCATATCAGGGTGGCCTTAGGACCCTCTGCTTCCCCCAGGAACAAAGCCCAGGGCTTCTTGTTCCCCCAGCATCACTGTAGGTCTGGGGCTCCTTCTGCCACGTCACAGTCCCTCTTTGTGCGTTAAGGATGATTGTGGCCTGGTGTACTTGTGGCAAGGGCTCTGCGGACCTAAGTGTCACAGAAAGTGATACCTTGGCCAACTCAGCTGCAGTGATCAGGAGTGGATGGCAGAGATGCTTAATCCATCTTCCTCACTAGTTGTTGGCTTGGACTAAAGTTTGAGAAAGGACTAAAGTTTTCTTCATCAGTATGTGGACATGACAGTTGTTACTTTCTGGGGCTGCACCATCCCTGCCTTCTGCAACAGCTGGTAATAGACATGCTCTCACTGCTTCTCACAAACCCGAGGCTTCACAAGCTGCGTCAGTACATGCTGAACCAGGTGGAAGTCGCGCTGAGGAGAATGCACCCCTCCTTTCCAGGGCAGGGCTGTGTGGCCTGGCAGGGAGGACACTGCACATGGGACCAGAGCCCTGGAAGAAGCAGGAGAGAGCCTCCAGGTGGCCAGGGAACATCCGGGGAGCAAGGCATCTGGCCTGAAGCCCAGAGGTGGGGAATGGCGCACTGAGGAAGCATAAGTGGCTGTGAAGAGGGGAGCTGGGGGATGTGGATACAGAGCCGTGTCCTGGCCCGTGGGCGGCTGAGGAAGTCTATGATCTCCCCAGTGCATGTGGTGTGTTCAGTGGGGAGGGGTCCTACATTCGTTAAAAAGGATCTTCTGTTTCGTAGTTCTTCAGAGGGGTATGTGCCCTCAAAAATCATCGTGGAAACAAAGGATAACTAGGGTTTTTTAATGAGTAGGAGCCAGGTCAGGAGTTTGGGAGCCCTGATGTCGTGGTTGGGTGGCAACAGAGACCATCCTCCGAGGGAATCCATCTAGGTGCAACCGACAGGTGGGCCTCGTGCACAGGGGAGGCACCTTTCTGCTGCAGCTGTGTTGCACACTAACAAGACCAGAGCGGGGCCACTACCAAGGATGGAGGGCCCTGCGGGCGAGGGAGTCTTGAATGAAGTACCGCAGGGGTTTAGGAGCCATGGAAACTGGTTGAGAAGGAAGCTGAGGGCTGTAAGAAGCACAAAGTGGCCAGATCACTTTCAGATCCCCGACTGTGATGAAAACGTCATGTGGAACGTGCTGGTTCGAATTACAGAGCAACTTCCAGGTCAGCATGTCCTGCAGGTGGTTAGGAATGTGGGACTGGGCGTTTGGGAGAGGAGAGGAGAGGAGAGGACTGGAGACTGGACTAAGGAGTATTTTGCTAAGCGTGATGCAAGCCTTTGAATAACCCAGTAACTGTGACCTTGACCCCTATCTGCATGAGGGAAGTGGAGAGCAGGGAGGGACAAGCGCAAGGAAAGATTCATCTCGGGAGAGCAGGGGCGAGGGAAGCGGAGATCGATGATGTTTAATGTCAAGGAAGTTACAAGGCAAGAGAGCTTCCAGAGAGGAGCTGACGGTGAGACATTGCAGAGGCTGTGTGGAAACTAGAGCGGAGGAAGAGCCGGAGCATTCAGAGTGGCCCGGCCGGCCGGGAAGAGTCCGGCTGGCTGGCCGGGGGAGGAGGGCACCCCGCAGAGACGCACTGGCCACCTGACATGGTGTTACAGGATTTCTGGGCCTGCTGCCTCCTCTGAGCCCCCACGCGGCAGGAACACCTGGATTATCCCACAGCCTCAGGCAGCCTGACCAGGCAGGGGGGCTCAGCACGTGCATGTCTCCTGATGGGAACGTGGCCTTGCTTCTCTAGATGGAAACTAGGGGAAGATTCTCTGAATACCCAGCCGGGCTTTCTTTCCACTTGACCAGACCGCATGTGTGTTTGGAAACAGTTGCAGATCATTTGGGAATATCCTCATTAGGCCCTTTTTGTGCATATGAAGTCAAAGGTCCAGTTGAGAGGAAAATGCAGTGTTCTGATACTGCAGATCGCTGAAATGATGCATCAGTCAACGCGGTCACTCTGTCTTACACTCTCCCAGGAGAAGGCGGCCATTTATACTGTTGTCTGAAGGAGTAGGCGGCCAGGCAGGTCTGTGTGCAGGCCTGGGAGAGAGAGCACCATGGTGAACTAAATGTACCTCCCTTGGAAAAATCCAGAGGGCTTTGCATCAGCAGAGAAAAAATCCAACCCAAGATGCATGACAGTAAATAACAACTGTTCTGAGTTAGGTCGAAAGCTCTGAGTTGCACTTTTTCCTAAGTTGTTTGCTAACCACAATTTTTTTCTCCCCTCTTTCCCACCAGGGCTTATTTCAAAACCTTTGTCCCTCAGTTCCAGGAGGCTGCATTTGCCAATGGAAAGCTCTAGGAAACACCAGTGTTGAGAGGTGGCCAGCCAGACTGCGTGGTCCACATGCGTGCCGGCGCACAGGGCTGCTTCCTGGAAGCCGCCTGGAGCGTCTTCACTGCAGCATTCCGCTCACACAGCAAGTCTGCTTGCCCCAGGCAGCCCCGCTCTGCTGGAACCCAAACTCGAGCTGCCTGGCGGTACCCTGGATCCTAGCGCCCTTCGCTGTTGTTGTTCCCTCTTCCTTCATTATATTTCTTAGCTGGAAGAAATAAACTCACAAGTCATGATGCAGTAATTTTCCAGGGAAAGTAAAATGTCATAAATACACACATCTTTCTTCCAAAGCCTTTGTCTGTGAGACTTCTGTTAAGTTTCAAGGTTGAACACCCCTTGGCTTTTCCCCCCTGAAATTAGTGTTGTGGAGGGTGTGTGTGTGTGTGTGTGTGTGTGTGTGTGTGTGTGTGTGTGCATTCCCACCCAACATTTCCATTGGACAATCCTCCAGTGGAAAAAGGAAGCACCTAAAGGATCTGACAAACCTGCAGGATCAAGACACCCACCCAGCGGGGCTCAAGGCTGGCACTCAGGAACCAATAGGCTCCAGCATCCTCCCTGCCCCTTCCCCGTGCCTCCCCCGCTCCTGTGTAGTCTGTGTGCACAGCCCGTCCCAAAACTAGGGGACACGGGTCATTAGGGCTTGCTGCGTGCACCCAATGGGGTTGCTGATGGAGCGTCTCAGGCTTACAGAGCACTGTGTGAATCCACCTGAAAGACAAAGGCTGGGGTCATAGGTTATCACTGGTGTGTGTCTGGTATCTGAATCGGGCCTGGCTGCTGAGCAAGGTACTGGAGCAAGCTCCTAGGTGTATAGACTATCAGAACTGGAAGGGATGTCAGAAGCCAGCTTGTTTCAGTCAGTGTGCAGAAGGGAAAATGGAGGCCCAAATGCTCAAGAAACTCACAGCAGATCAGGAGCAGCTTCCTGTCGGCAGCCAGCTGGGCAGGGTCAGAAGACACTCCCTTGTTGCCAGCTGGCTCCAAGGGTTACAGCCGCTTCCCAACAGAGCCATCCGGGGACTTCTGCCAACATCCAGGTGTGTGCGTCCCAGTCCATGGGGGTCTGGTTTCATAGGTGAGGACCGGGGCAGGACTTCCTTGGAAGCTCCCTAGGGGATTCTGAGGAGCAGAGGCCACGATCTGGTCCAGTTTGCCCCTTGTACTGGGGAGAGGAAGGACTGGCTTAAGGTTATGCGGCTGGTCCATGGCAGGGCAGGGTGTGGACACATGAAACTGGGCTATCTGTGCTTGCTCAGGGTAGCTGTGTGCCAATTCCAGTCCTCCTCCTAAGACCCCGTGGCATGATCCCTTAGGGTTGCTCTGCCACCCGCCACCTGTGCAGGTTGGGCTCTCCAAGAGCTTGCTTCAGGTCTGCTAGGCATCCCGGTGATGTTCTAGCAGAGTGGCTGGCAGCACAGAGTGGGTAAAGTCACATTTCCAGTGGCCATTCAGCAGTGACAGCAGCCATATAGGTAGTATGGTCCACCACTGTCACCCTTCTGTGCCTGCAAGCATCTAGGGGTCCACACACGCTCAGGCTAACCAGCTAATTAGTGACAACCTGAAGCATCAGTGCAGCAAGCACAGCTAACTCAGAGGAGCTGGCACAAGCTGGTTGTGATGACACACACCTGTAACCCAGGCACTCTGGGAGGCTGAAGCAGGAGGATCAAAGTTAGCCCAGCCTGGGCAACTCAACAACTTACAAGACCTCCTTGTCTCAAAATAAAAATGAAGAGAGGGCTTGGGATGTAGTTCAGTGGTAAGGCCCTGGATTCAGTCATCTGTGTGTGTGTGTGTGTGTGTGTGTGTGTGTGTTGGGGGTGGTCAGTGAGTGTTGTTTACAGCGGACTTGTGATGTAAATGAGTGAGTGAGAGCCATCTTGTCCCACAGATAAAGAAAGCAGGTCAGAGAGGTTAAACCATCCATTCACCAGCTAGGCAGTGCCGGTGTCAGGGCTGACCCAGGCTCCTGGCTCCCAGTCCAGAGCCACTCTTAACGCACATCCTTGATTCTTCCGAGCGCTCTAAGGATATATTCTCCTTTGCCCATGAAGGCTGATGTACTTTGTGGGGGCAGAGGTTACATGACTGTTTTAAGATGTTCCGCTCCCTTACCCAAGTGAGTTGGGCTGATTCTCTTCGGGGAACCTAAACAACAGTGGTAATAACTGCTTTATATTTCAGATGCCAGGGATTCAAACACCAGAGTGTGAGATTTTATCTCAGCCACAGAAGCAAGTAGCACTTGGGAAATGGGCAAGGGTCCCTGGCACGTATGTACACTTCTCGCTGGTTTCTCCTGTCATCAGGCATTGTACCTGCACACAGAGCGCGGCCCGGACTAATTAGTAAATGGCTATAAAATGCTTTGGAGATGAGACATCCCATCGAGGAGTGCGCATTATTATTACCTCGTAAAATCCCGTCTCCAGCTTACTCAGCCCTTGTGATGGGAGCTTTAGCCCAGCACAGACGAGGGGAGGACTCAGATATGTTTACTAATAATGGTTGGATCCAATGGAGCAACCCCTATGTGGCCCAGGAGGAGGGACAGGAGAGCACGTCTTCCGGCTACAGACCAAGCCCATTTTCTAGGACATGAACTGGAAAGAAAACGAGCTCTAGGATGAGAGAGACTTAGGTGTGAGTCCTGGCTCTGCCCGCTTAGTAGCTGGTAAATATTTAACAACCAGATACCATGTAGTGCTGATGATGATGATGGAGAGGAAGAAGAAATGACAGGAGGGCCCCAATTTGTACTGCTGGCTGATTTCCTAGTATGAACCAGTGACCAATTTTTAGCCACCCATATAAAGTCACTGAATGCAGAGCTGGGAAGGGCAGGAAGGGTCAAGGTGGTGGGAGCTCAGCTGGGGTGAGCCGGCTCCAGGGTGTCTGTCTAGTCCGAGTCTTGTTCTCCTCATCTCTAACCTGGGAATGAATACCTGCCTCCCAGGTCAGTGAGAATCAAGTAAGAAAAGGGCAGAAAACACCACGAACAGTGCTGGGCACCAAGTAATGGCTGATAAACAGCTGCTATTATTGCAGACCAGAAGAAGGATTTTCTGATGTTGACTTTGGCCTTTCTCTAAAAAGTCAGAATGCCCCTGTCAGAGAGTCCTGCCAGTGAATGTGGCCTTTGGGAGCGCGGCCCTGTCTGGATTGCCCGGAAGACGAAACATGAGTCATCTTGAGTTTTGCCGAATGAGAGATGAGCTGCATTTGTGGGAGCTCCCCGCCGCACCCCACCCCTTTCCTCCCCGCTGGAACTCAGCAGGACTTGGGGCCTGGCTGCACAACTGTGGCCCAGTGACCTGTTTCTCCTCCCTGGCCTCTGCTTTCCCACAGCAAGGAAATCAGAGCAGCACAGTTCACTTTTGCCTCTGACTTAGTTTCGGTTTCTGATGGCTGTAAACACTTACTTGGGAGGCTGAGCCATGCCAGAGCAGTGACCACACTGGCTTTGCTTAGTGCTTGATCTATCAATAATAGCACGAGCCCCAGAATCTGCCCCAGTTCCCCGGCCCAGGCCGTGCCACGGTTCTTAATGTGCAGGTTAGAAACACCATTCATGGGAAAATGATGTCTAATTCTGTGAGTAGCACAATTCATTTATTAATGCTTTTAAAACCGAAAACAAGGCCCATCACCTTTTGTTTATGCCTCTGTAGCACGCATTGCGCAGTGCACAGTTAGGTAGCAACTAGAGGGAGGGGCTGGTGGATACACTGTCTTTGTTTTCTTTTTTTACTGAGCTACATTCCTGGCTCTTTTATATTTCCGTTTTGACACAGGATCTTGCTAAGTCAGTAAGTTGACCAGACTGGGCTCTAACTTTCCATCCTCCTGCCTCAGCTTCTCAGAGAGCTGAGATTACAGGCAAGCGCCGCCACACTCAGCAAAATATTGTCTTTTTAAATCCTTGCCACTAAATGAGGTTGGTGTTATTAGCTTTGTTTTCCAGGTCAAAACGTGGAGCCTCAGAAAGGTTAAATACCTGAGCCAAGGACCTGAGGCCAGTGTATACACCTACTCACTTACCCGTTCTACTTCCCCCTACTCTTCTCCTTTCCCCTTCCCTTCTATCTCCTCTCCCTCCTCTGTTCCTCACAGCACAAGAAACTAGTCCAGGCTTCTGTTTCATTGTTTCCACTATCCAGCTTCCCCTAATGCAGGGAATTTATTGAGCATCTACTGTGCACAAAGCCCTGTATGGGACATTCATACCCGGTCATGAGCTACATAGCAGTATTATATGCCTAGTGATATTGTAGCCACCTTAGTTTGTGTGATCACATGCTTTGATGTTCACTCAGCTGCAAAGTCACCTAACAATACCCTCTCAGAACAGGGGCCCATCGTTAAGCGACTCTACTTGTTTTTGCCATTTCCTAAATGAGGAGAGGGGCTTGGGGTGGCAGAGTGGGCCAGGATCACACGAAGCTGGAGTCCTGATCTGCTGCTTCCAAAGCCATGGAGTCTCTGGCCAAGGAGTTCTGTGTAGCCTACCAGAGGCAGGCTCTTTATATGTGAAGAGTTCGCAATGTGGCTACGTAACTATATATGAATGCCAACTTATTTCCAGATAGTTGAGCCGGGACTAGCCCACAGCTGGAAAAAAAAATTCCAACTTCAAAGTTTGTGTCCTATTTGCAGGTTAAAGTCCAAGACACACCTGGTTGAAATAATGGCCGACTACCTGAAGGAGACAAGGTGGAAAGAGCAGTTGCCGTTCTTAAGGAAAGTTACCAAGGTTTACCAAAAGCAGTGGGATTCAGGAACCATTTGCAGGTTAAATATGAATTAACTCCAGAGGCCTAACCGTGTTTTCCTTCTCCAGACTTCTTGAATTTGCCTCTTCACTCTTCCCTGATCCCTTTACCCCTTTGGAAGAATTGCATTTTATGAGTCTGGGAGGTCATGCTTGAGATTATGATAAACCATGCTAATCGTGGCAGTAAAGGAGCCGTAGAAGCAACTGAGGAATGTCCAGCACGCTATGGGCCAGCTGCTGGCACAGCACTCCAGGAAGAGCCGAGTGCGTGTAGAGGTGTGGCAGACACTCCTCTCCTCCAACGCAACCCTCCACCGGCTCTGCAAGGCCTCTGTCCACAGACAACTCTTCATTCCAAAGGTTCTTGGAGCAGGCCCTCTGCACCCCCTTAAAGACCCCACCCAAGAAAACCAGTCTCTTTCAAGTCTATGGTCTCACTTGTGCCTCCAGACGGAACCCCCTGGGCTCCTGAGACCTTTGTTGGTGCAGATGCCAACAGAGCAGAGCTGA